AAGATAATTATTACTAAAAACACATTTCTTGTTGCCACGCTCTATTATTTGTTTCAAACTGCAAAATATCCTATGTAGTATGTGGTGTAGAATTTAACGAACTTAAACCGCAATGTCACTTGGAACTTTATTCTTTATTGCATCTGCTTTAGGGCCGGGTATTGGCCTAGTGAATAGCGTCCCAGACTGGGTATCCGAGGATCCACGGTTCGCGTCCCTTTACTGCAAAATTACTGTATTCAATTTAGAGTTGTGGGTACTTATATAAGAATGACGGTCAAATCCTGCTATTCGCTTAGAGTAGCTCAAAAGTTGGTAGTGGGCGCTATTGACTAGCTGCCTTTCTTCCTAGTCTGTCGGCTCAAAATTAGGCCAATAGCCATTTTGTAGCTTTTGCGCATATATCAAAACAAATCAAATCAAGCCATTTGCTATAAGCACATAACTACAAGTGCGTGCCCATAACACAAGAAGTGTAAAGCGAAACAAAATCTATTTACACATAATCTTGCAATTAAAAACGATTTGGTGTACACTGTGATTTGTTTGAATATTAATATATGATTTATTAAATGTATTTTTTTCGAACAATATCGAAATTTACATTATGACTAGGTTAACATGAAATTTCGGCAGATTAATAAGGGACTAATTCTATTTTATTTTATTTTTCGTGGTTTCCTTGGCTGAAAATCGAAATTGAAAGAAGCCTCTTCAAATTAATTTTTTTCTTGTTGTTTTTTTTTCAACATAAACGACACATGTATGGGCCTAACTGGTCAGGTCAGAAATCTTAAGGTACACACATATCCATCCCCAATTTAGAGCTGGTGACCAGAGAGAGGGCAACCAGTCAGAAGCACCCATCGCCAACACGGCTAATCTTAACCGAAAAGCACATCACGGCTCGAATCTTGGACTTTTCTGATCCGCATCCCGACACGCTAACCCCTAGGCCACGCTTGTCCTCCCTTTTAAATTAAATTGTGTTTTTTACATAAATACAAGTTTTCCAGTCGATAAGTGATTAGACTGTATAAAGCTTGTTAAGTTTAAATCGTACGAATTACTTAGAAAGATGTTTAAAAAGAAAAAAAAAACATTGTATGGTGTCTTCTAAGTGTACTGATTTATTTCAGATACTCTTCCAAAGCTACGCAAGGGTTATCTGCGCTAGCTGTTCATAATTTTGAACTAATAGACTAAAGGGAAGACAACTTATCAACAGCACCCACGTTCAACTAACTCTTGGGCTACTCTAATTTAAGTGTGATTTTACTGTCACTCTTATAACGTACCCTCTCCCCCCAAATGAGGAGCGCAATTTTACGGCAAAAAAGACGCGAGCTATGGATCTTTGGATTTATTGTTCGGCACGCTAATCAGTAGGCCACGCCCGAAACAGTTTGTCAAATACAGGCTAGTAGTCATCACTGAAAAACAATTATGTTAGTGTATTTCTTGTTGTGGGAACATACGACAATACATAATATGTCCTTGAAAGAGAATTATTCTCTTGATTCAGTCTGCGAATTTCTTGTTGTGGGAATATACGACAATACATAATATTTCCTTGAAAGAGAATTATTCTCTTGATTCAGTCCGGGAATTTTTGCAGCAAACAAATGACTACTATAAACGCATGAAGTGCTGTGTATAAACATGATAAAATCATTTAATATCTCATCGTCCTATACCGATATATATTGGAAGGCGGGTACGAAATACAGATGTTTATATTAAAAGCCTATAGAGCATATAAAAATATTCTGTCTAAAATTACCGATGACACAATATTTCCATTTGCCAAAACTACTTTTATTGTGTTATTCAACATGTCGCCATTTTAATATTATCAACGTTTTTTTTTTTTTTTTT